TTGTTGATAAAGTCTCTTTATGTTCTTTGTGTAGTCTACTTGTGTGCCAAGTTATACTGAAATCAGACCAAAACTGTAGGAGGAGTAGCACTTTGAAACAATTTTACAGACATTTCTATTTTTAGTAACCACGGCAACAACATTCATCAAAATTAAAATTTGATATAAAGAATTATGTATCTTAGTATATTCTACTGATGTGCCAAGTTAACTTGAAATCAAACCAAAACTGTAGGAGGAGAAGCATTTTGAAACAATTTTACAGATATTTCTATTTTTAATAACCACGGCAACACCGTTCATCGAAATCCAAAACCGATAAACAGAATTATGCATCTTAGTGTAGTCTACTTGTATGCCAAGTTAAAATGAAATCAAACCAAAATTGTAGGAGGAGTAGCATTTTGAAAGAATTTCAAAGAAATTTCTATTTTTAGTAACCACGGCAACACCGTTCATCGAAATCAAAAACCGATACACAGAATTATGTATCTTAGTGTAGTCTACTTGTGTGCCAAGTTATATTGAAATCAGACTAAAACTGTAGGAGGAGTAGCATTTTGAAAGAATTTCACAGAAATTTCTATTTTTAGTAACTATGGCAACACCGTTCATTAAAATCTGATACACAGAATTATGTACCTTATTGTAGTCTACTTGTATGCCAAGTTATACTGAAATCAGACCAAAACTGTAGGAGGAGTAGCACTTTGAAACAATTTTACAGACATTTCTATTTTAAGTAACCACGGCAACACCATTCATCAAAATTAAAATTTAATATAAAGAATTATGTATCTTAGTATATTCTACTGATGTGCCAAGTTAACTTGAAATCGGACCAAAACTGTAGGAGGAGTAGCATTTTGAAACAATTTTATAGATATTTCTATTTTTAGTAACCACGGCAACAAATCCAAAACCGATACACAGAATTATGCATCTTAGTGTAGTCTACTTGTATGCCAAGTTAAAATGAAATCAAACCAAAATTGTAGGATAAGTAGCATTTTGAAAGAATTTCACAGAAATTTCTATTTTAAGTAACCACGGCAACACCGTTCATCGAAATCAAAAACCGATACTATTAGTTACACAGTCAGTTAGTGACCTAATACGGAATCATACAGGGTGTGAAATGGAAATCCGTATTGGGCGAGGCGAAGCCGAGTCCCAATACGGATTTCCATTTCACACCCTGTATGATTCCGTATTAGGTCACTAACTGACTGTGTAACGAATTTATCCCGCTGAAGACCTAACGTTAATTCTTAAATATTTAAAAAAAAATATATGTGCATATTATGAAAATATCACGTTTTAATCCAATAACAATCAACATAAAATATCGTAACAAGAAATTTAAGTAATCAAACTACCTACGATAACCGTTTCTTAGCCGCCATTTTTATTTACAATAACAACGCTTCGAACGGAATCGCGTGCCCGATTTTCATATTACGCCTTGACGGAGACGTAATATGGAAACGGAGACGTAATACGGAAAATTTCAGGGCGTCATGTGATCAGCTTTTATCCAATCAGCAATCGACAAATTTGTCTGAAGCGGGATAAACAGAATTATGTATCTTAGTGTAGTCTACTTGTGTGCCAAGTTATATTGAACTCAGACCAAAACTGTAGGAGGAGTAGCATTTTGAAAGAATTTCAAATCTGATACACAGAATTATGTATCTTAGTGTAGTCTCCTTGTGTGCCAAGTAATACTGAAATCAGACCAAAACTGTAGGAGGAGTAGCATTTTGAAAGAATTTCTATTTTAGTAACCACGGCAACATCGTTCATCAAAATCAAAAACCGATACACAGAATTATGTATCTAAGTGTTGTCTACTTGTGTGCCAAGTTAAATTGAAATTAGACCAAACTGTAGGAGGAGTTGCATTTTGAAAAATTGTTTACAGACAGACGGACAGACGGACGGACGCCGGACACATTACTATCGCATAAGCTCTTCTGGTCTCTGATCAGTAGAGATAAAAATTAGAGATAAATAAAAATGTAGATTTTCATAGAGTTCATCGGGTGGGATGCAATGTACATGTAAAGTGAGGCCAATTGTTGCTAAATTTGGTCTGTTCAAGCTAAAGGTAATGGTGAGAAAGGCCGCATATAAATTGGAAGATGAAAATAAACAGTTTGGAATTAGTGAACAATTTCACCGTGAAATTAATGAAAAGAGGGAAAAACTTAAAGCTGCAAAGCAACAAAGAGAGGAAAACACAACTCATATACGATAAACCACAGAAGGAGAAGAACTTGTAAGTTGTAAGAACTTGTTTCTGATCCTTTTGTGTTAAACAATAAAATATGTTCAAATCAAATCAATAAACCACATTATGCGTTCATTGATCATCCTTTCCATGGTTTTACATAAACAGATTGTTAATGCAATTGGTCGATAATTGTTAGGGTCTGCATGGTCCTTTTCCAGGTTTTGGAATGGAATTATTGTAGCTTGTGTCCATAAAGATGGAAATTGACCTCCCTCCCAGATCGTATTAAATATGTGCAGAAGACACTCTTTACTTTCTTTAGGTAGATGTTTAATTAATTGATAATGTATTTGATCCGGTCCTACAGCTGTATCGTGAGTTTATCTAGAGATTTTTGCAACTCATCAAAAGTAATTATAACATTCTTTGTTTTCAGAAGTAAAATCCAATGTTTTCTTTTGTTGTTTATTTTTAAATATTTTAAAATTGGGGCTCATATTGTTTGTAGAAGAGTTATCCGAAATTGTCTTAGATATTTCGTTAGATATTTCCCTCTTATCTGTAATAATTTGATTCTCAATTTTAAGATGATTATTTTTTTCAGAACCCTTTCCTTTTATTTTTCTTATTGCGTTCCATAGGACACGATAGGGTAAGACCAGTATTTGGCCCCCGATTTTGGGTGTAATTTAATGATCCAACAGATTTTCCATAAAACCTGTTGTCATCCCTTCCACAAAATGAGTGTTGATTTTATGATTAAGAATTTCCAAGCTTCACAGCGAGGTCAGGAAATAGGTCAATTTTCGAAATTTATCATTTTTATGCAGATTTTCATTACTTTACAGCACATTTTCTTTCGGAAAACATAGAGCACACGCTTGCCTATCTACCAAATATATAAACAATGTATTTTATACACCGATATCAGACGCAGTTTATGTGTGAAAATCTCAGGCAAGCGTGCGCTCTATGTTTTCCGAAGAGAAATGTATCCCAAATATAATGAAATTCCACCAGAATTGAGGAAATTCGGGAAAATGTCCTATTTTTGCAACCTCTAGTGGCTTCCATGTAAGCTTTGAATCAAAATTAGTTCTTGTCTTAAGGTAAGCATCATTTCAACTTCTTAACTACAAACTATCACAATTTTATCAGTGTTATGATTTTTATATCAAATTAGGGGCCAGATTCGGCTGTTACCCTATCTTGTCCTTTATTGATTGAGGTGTGTGAATTTAAGTTTGAAACAATTTTTTTCCAGGATTTTCTTTAATTAAAATTAATAGTTCTGAGAGCTTTTGCTCTAAATACGCGAAAGTTGCTTAAATTTGTTGATGTTGGTAATCTATTAAATAATCTTTCAGCTTTCTTACGTGCTTTTATCGCTTCATTGCATTCTTTTGTAAACCATGGGTTTTAGGTCACCTGAGTAAACTCCGGTGACCTATTGCTATCTGTTTTCGTCCGTCGTCGTCCGTCGTGTGTTAACATTTGAACATTTTCAGCCCCCCTGGGGCCTGAGAGATGGGGCCAAAACCACTAAAATTAATGCAATCTTAAAAAATCATTTAAGCAGTCAAACTATTTGCATGATTGTAATCAGCATTGAGTCCTCTACCAAAATTGTGAAATTCATGTGCCTGGGGTCAGGGGTTCGAAACTTGTTGTTCGTGAGCATCCAGTTGAACCTTCCATCGGAGAGACTCTTTTTGTTAAAACACAAAATGACGAGAAGATAGAGATGTCTTACGAGGACCTCAAGTTCACAGAGTTGATGGACTCAACTTTCAGAAAGGACTCCTTCGGAGTATGGATGGCACCTCTACCATTCAAAAGTGAAAGGGCACGGCTTCCTAACAACAGACCACAAGTATTGCAAAGAGCTCAACAACTGGAGTCAAATCTCAAAAGGAATCCCGAGAAACTGAACCACTTCATTACCTTCATGGATAAGGTCTTCAGAAGCCAAGCAGCAGAGCGGGCACCTGTTCAACAGGACGATGGTATTTACCAATCTTTAGGGTATATCATCCCAAGAAACCCAACCAGATCAGAGGAGTGTTTGATTCCTCAGTAGTGTACAAAGGACTTTCTCTGAACAACGTGTTGCTAACGGGACCAAATTTAACCAACAGTTTGTTAGGCGTACTGCTGTGTTTCCGGAAGGATGTATGTGCAATTACAGCGGACATTGAACAGATGTTCTACAGATTCTTTGTCATACCCGAGCATAGAGACTTTCTGCGGTTCTTCTGGTTTGAAGACAATGACCCCAATTCTCCAATGGTTGAGTATCGTATGACGGTGCATGTTTTTGGAAATCGGCTGTCCCCTGCCATAGCCACTTAGTGCAAGAAGCTGATGTTGATGTCAGAGAGTTTATTAATTGTAATTTCTCTGTGGTTGATGCACTTAAATCTACAACCTTACCTGAAGCAGCTGTGAGTTTACTCGAACGCACCAAAAGAGTCTTACAGAATGAAGGCCACATCCGACTGCACAAAAACGCATCGAACAACAAGAGCGTGATGTCTCAATTTTCCAAGGAAGACCTTGGTAAGGATCTCAAGGACTTAGATTTGAGTGACGATGCATTGCCCTTACACCAGAGTCTGGGTTTATCTTGGGACTTGAATACGGATAATTTTGTTTTCACAGCCACTAATCTGAATAGTTCATTCACAAGGAGAGGATTGCTTTCAGCAGTTAGCAGCATTTCGATCCCATAGGATTTTTGGCACCCTTCACTGTTAACGGAAGAATGTTATTGAGAGAAACTTGTCCACAAGGCTTTGACTGGGATGATCAACTTCCTGAAACACATCAGAAACGCTGGCAGAATTGGATGGATGACCTGAATCTGTTAAATGGATTTCAAATTCCCAGAATGTATGTACCAAGTTCTTACAGTCAGATGAGGGTACGGGAAGTAGCCATCTTTTCTGATGCTTCAGAGAAGGTGGTAGCTGCGGCTGCTTATCTGAAGACAATGGATGACCAGGGTCAACAACGTTTGGAGTTCATTATTGGCAAATTCAAATTGGCGCCTTCAGCTGGAAACAGTATACCACGTTTAGAGCTCTGCGGGGCAGTTTTGGCGACAGAAATTGGGCAATTCCTTGCAGAACAGCTTGAGATACCTCTGACTGAGATGAGATATTTTGTGGATAGCAGGGTTGTTTTTGGTTATATAAAGAATGACACACGGAGGTTTTACACCTATGTTAGCAATAGGGTAGCCAGGATTCGTCACATTACCTCACCAGAACAATGGAATTATGTGCCGACCTACTTAAATCCTGCAGATGTTGCTACAAGGGGTGTGTCACAAGACATTTTGACGGCCATACAAACATGGCTGAAAGGACCCGAGTACGGTACATCTTAAAAAAACAGAGAGACATCAGAAGATGAACCAGAAATGTTTCCACTCATTGAACCAGATTTAGATAAGGAAATCCGTCCAGTACAGGTGCTACAGACCACCGTCTCAACATACTTACCACTGGATGAACGATTCTCAAGATTCTCAACATGGAAAGGGCTCGTTAATGCGATCGCCATCTTGAAACACAATGCACGGTGTCGCAATAAAGGAAACAACTCATCTTGCAAAGGATTGCATTGGTGTCAGGAAGCAATAGTTCCAGCCACACTTAAGGAGGTAGAGAAATTTGTGATTAAGACAGTACAACAAAAACACTACTACAAGGAAATCAACAATCTGAGATTAGGGTTGTCACTCAACAAGGGGAGTCACATCATATCACTCTCACCTTACATAGACGAAGATGGTCTGGTGAGGGTTGGTGGCCGATTAAATCACATTCGAGACAGCCTGGGACTCGCATCTACGAATCCTATCATCATACCTAAGGGAGTTGTAACAACGCTTCTCGTGAAGCATTTCCATGTAAAAAACCTTCCACCTAGGCCGAAAATTTACAGAAGGAAAGATACGCTCAAATGGTTTCTGGATTATAGGAGCAACGAGAATCATTACATCTTTAATTGCAAGGTGTGTCTTATGTCAGAAACTAAGGGGAAAGCTGCTAGAACAGAAGATGTCAGATTTGCCGACAGATCGTCTGGTTCCTGGACCGCCCTTCACAGCTGTCGGTGTGGATACCTTTGGGCCATGCGACATCACAACCCGTAAAACACGGGGTGGAGTCGCTCAAAGTAAGCGTTGGACAGTCATTTTCACCTGTTTAACGAACCGTGCAGTGCACATCGAGCTAATCGATGAAATGAGCAGCTCTAGTTTCATAAATGCTTTGAGGCGAGTGACGGCAGTCAGAGGCCAATCAAAATCTATAGATCGGATCGAGGGACGAACTTTGTGGGTGCGACGGATCAGATTGGTATCGACTCAATCAATGTGAAAGATGCTCAACTAAGGTCTCATCTAAACAACTCAGGACCAGTCTGGATATTTAATGCACCCCACTCCTCCCACATGGGAGGAGTGTGGGAAAGAATGATAGGCGTTACTCGGAGAATTTTAGATGGAATACTAGTTCAACAGAAAGCCAAGACTTTAACCCATAAAATTCTGCCCACACTGATGGCAGAAGTGTCTGCTGTGATAAAGTCCAGACCAATCTCAGCTATTTCATCTAACCCAGAGACACCCTTAATATTCCCTTAATATTGTGCCCAAACATTCTTCTCATTCAGAAACAAGGTGAAGATTCCCTTACGTTATCAGAACAACTCTCACTGAAGGATGTCTATAGAGCAGAATGTAAACACGTTCAAGTACTCTCAGATCTCTTTTGGAGAAAGTGGAAGGATACCCACTTGAATGAACTACAACAACGCAGAAAGTGGTAAGACAAGAAACCGAATGTAAAACCTAGTGACGTCGTTCTCGTCAAGGATGCAAGCCTCGTTCGTGACCAGTGGCTCATTGGAGTAGTAGAAGAGGCCATAAAGAGTGACGATCAGTTGGTCCGCAAGGCTGTTATCCGAGTACATCGCAATGGAAAAAATGTGTTGTATACTAGACCTATCAATGAGCTTGTTTTGTTATTAGATGATTAGTCAGTGTATGCTAAGTAAATATAGAAGTTTTTAATTTAGATTGTTATATCTTAAGATATAAGACGGGGAGTGTGTTGTCACATTTTTTAGCAATCCGGAATTATCAAAACTTCTTGTGTTGGTTTTATTTTTATCTTAATTTCACATTTTCCTTTCCTTATTGTTGATTGGCTAGCCATACCTGTTTACCTCGTTCTCTGCAACTTGGACGCACAATGGAGTAAGTTTATACTGTTTGCAATGCTTGATATTCATTATCAAATTTGAACGGTTTATGATTTTGTATGCATTTGATCATTATTTTGTAAAACATCTTGGTTTATGATGTAGTGTGTGGAATCTATTTTTAGATAACATGTGCGAGTTGCACTTTTCATGATTTGTCAGATTTTATAAGGTTTGTGTCTCAATATATGGCACTTTTGGATTACACAGTCACATATTTCTCAAATATTTCAGTAATTTTCTCCTAGTCTAGTATTATTATTCCATGTGAAATGCATCTTCGCTAGCCAAGGGTTTCCGATCCGATACCTACTCTACAACCCTTGGCAGATTTAGTCCTATCAAACGGGAACTTTGATTGCGCCGCCTATCGCCGAAATTGAGTTAAGTCCCTTGAAGCTCTTAAATATTTGTCCAATGAAAATAGCTGTAACATACGTAGATCAATATGACGTTTGAAACAATATGGCGACCTCCATGTGGAATATATCCAAACAACTTCATACAGCTGTGGGCAGTGGGCACACCTCAAAAGTGGAAGAAAGTATCGTTCTTCGTGGATTTTTAGTCAAGAGTTTGACACTACAATCTACTTGTTGCCGTATCAATTATTATTAATGAGCCGTGACTTTTGATTGGCTTAAATTGATGCATCTAAAATGCGGAACACGGACTTATGTGGTCCTTGCAATAATTCTTGAAAACATATATAATTAAAAGAAAAAAATTCAAATTAATTAATCCCTTGTTTTTTAAGCATAGATCACGTCCTTACTTTCATCCATTGTAAATATTACTTTTATTTTGTGCATAAAACACGAACAGACTTTAATTCAGTCGAAAATCGTCGATTAGTAAAAACCTTGGACTCGGACTTCGCAGCCAATCAAATTCATTTGCGCGAGTTCTAAAATTTTCGGCCAAATCTGCCAAGGGTTGTAGAGTAGGTATCGGATCGGAAACCCTTGGCTAGCGAAGATGTGTGAAATGTAATCATCTATAGTATTGAAATAGTGCGGGAAAATTTGAGGGCATGTTGTAAAACATTGATTGTGTTAAGTACATAGATTATGCAGAAATTTAATGGCACGCTGTAAAACATAGATTGATCAAGTTAATCTAATACATGTCAATTGATTATGCAAGTTTAAGCCTATACAAAGGTTATGAGATAGAGTATTAGTCCTAGTCATTTGTTCTAGTCATTCGTCAGGTTACATTTATTTACCTTTTGCATGAAATGTCAACTATTGTATTCTCTGTTCTTATTTGATTCTCGTAATGTTTCAGATCTAACCATTTCCACTCCATTGCTATGATCAACATCATCATTATGTACATGGAGCAATAAACGGTTAAACTTACTGCTTTACTTGGATTTTATTGAACGTGGGCAATAGGCAGTACAGTTAGGGTAAGAGGCATTAAAAGGAAATCGGAAGTGATGGCAATGTAAGCAACTTTGATAAATAATACAGCTCAATGCACCTTTTAGGCTCGCATGGGTTTTTGCATTGTTATCATGTGAAATTGTGTAACGAGGCAACAAAAATATTTTTTTTATAATTCTTAATTTACTTTTAAGTTTATTTCACTGACTTAAAACTTAATTCGCACATAAGTTTTGTAGGATTTTAATACAATTTGGTGATTGTTCCAAAATGGTTTGTCGTGGTTTCTCGTCACATGTAGCCGTTTATGTACCCATTTTTTCCCCTCAAAGCAGTTCTTTGCCGTGCATTGACTCCAAAACAGTGCACATTATGTAACTTTTTTGTAAAATAAAATAATCTCCAAATCTCATGATGATAAATATGTTTTTTTTCATTTGATTGACTGCTTTTCTTGTTAAAAAGCTGGCATTTTATAGTGTTTTCTGGTTCTTGTATCATGAAAAGTTTCAGATCAATAATATAAAAGAATTTTGTTTTCAGTGGTAAAAATTTTCTATTTTAAAACCTGAAAAATACTTTTTGTACTGTCTTAAGGCATGACTTTTTTTATACCCCATTTTCATTTTTCGTGCTCTATTTCGACAAAACCACGACAAGAAGGATAAATATGAAATGTACTTCGAAAAAAAATCTCATTTAAAATGTCAATTTTAAAATAACAGCTTAAGGAGGCTCATTACACCACTTTTTGATGACGTACTACACAAAAAATTAAACCTCAATTGTGTCGACCGAATTGCTCAGGGGACAATTTGTCTAGATATCTCTATAATATGACCCTGACCTTTAAAACGCTTTAAAAATAGATGAAACATGTGGCGTTGTAAACAGTGAAAACAAAGTAACGGATTCATTATGCATAGACCAAAAAGAATTGCTTTTAGGCAGAAACAGAAAAAAACCAACAGTCAAATCTTCGCCAAACAGGTAATGTCAATTTCATAGCCATGCAGGCAGTGAACTCTATCAATCACCAACATGTATGTATGGAGGAAATTCGAGTTAAAATCTACAACCTTGTTGAAATTAAAATTTTATTGCGCTATTTACTGTGTTGGTGTTAATTAATATATTTATTTTATTGATTTAAATGTATACTCTTACAATTTATAGCTTTATTCTGAATTTTAGATGTAATGTCAAACGTTCCATAGTGTTTTGAGTCTTGGCTAATTAGGAAAGATAACTCTTGAAAGTGGACTTTTTATACCAAATATTTTTTAAATTGGATTTTTCATTTCCATTAAACTTTCTTCATTCAATTTGACACATGTAATTCATTAAAATACATTCCTTGTCTCTTCAGAACACATATTTAAAATGTTTTATGCATAGATTAAAAAGATAATGACATAGGAGAAAATTATTTTTTCTAATAAAATTATTAGTAGGTATTATGAGGTATTTTCACTGTGTGTACTTGTCTTAAGAAGATGCCCATCATTTAACACTGAAAGTTCTGAAATTCTATGAATAATAAACCTGAAATAAAACATTTCACTAAATTAAAACGAAAACTAAAAAAATCTTTAAAAAATATTTATGATATCAATACCCCCATCTGGTTATTTGACATCTACATTATAAGTGGTGCTGTATTGAAATCTAAAATAAACTGTGGATGTAATGAGCCACCTTAATGCTTAAGTATAAAAGAAAGCTG